CCCTCCCTCCTCTATGGCGGGCCAAGAGCAGGTAAGTATAAAAACAATTCCACTGACTTGTCAGTGTGACAGGTGCCAGGGGGGTGGACCGAGGTTGTGTCGCCATGGTAACCTCCCTGCTGTGGGTAGTCAGCGCGACTGCCACAGTGCTACGGCACCTTCCTCCAAGCTCATCAGTGCCGATGAGTTTAAATGAGGCTAAATGAAATTTAGGCAAGGTTAAAATCAAGGCATGATGGTCAGCGGAGGACATGCTGCGGGGCGCCCCCTTTGCAATTGCAGGGTCACGAGGTTTTCAGTACGTTTTGAGATCGTCGCGGATCCTAACGTGAGCCGCCTCTTGTGCTCCCGCCCTCCCTCCTCTATGGCGGGCCAAGAGCAGGTAAGTATAAAAACAATTCCACTGACTTGTCAGTGTGACAGGTGCCAGGGGGGTGGACCGAGGTTGTGTCGCCATGGTAACCTCCCTGCTGTGGGTAGTCAGCGCGACTGCCACAGTGCTACGGCACCTTCCTCCAAGCTCATCAGTGCCGATGAGTTTAATGAAGGAAAATTGTTTCATGCACTTGCAATGGCTTGCTTAATCATTGCAAATTACCTTAAGTCCTTATAAAAGTCTTTAAAACTTAATAAGTCTTTAAAACTTGGAACTGATATATCAGAGGCATTTTATATAACTTGCAACCATGAAAAGATCCTACATCTTAAATCTATGCACCATTGGAATATCCACCAAATATACATACCTTCTGTTTGATAGTAATAACATTTATTTTGCTTATCATCAAATATCTTGCAAACCAGGCTCTTAATTTACTCCATAAACATTATTAGGCATATCCAAATGTGTCAAGAGTAACAAGTAAGAATTGAAAAGAGCACTGGAGGAAAATAAAAATATTTTGACAGCCACCTAACAAGAAAGAATGAAAATGAAGAGCAGAAATTCATGGACTCAGAGAATTGAAGTGTATTTGGAGGAATAAGTGTGTTTCAAATAATTTTAAACATAATCAAACAGTCATTTCACCGTCTGTTAACTGCTATGTTCTAATTAGCAGGTGAAGATATCTCATACAAAAGTTAGCTATCAAGTTAAAAGATGCCTTGGAAGACAAAACCAAAGCTGTCAAGTAAATGTCCACATACCACTGTAGTGAGGCCAGTCTTCAAACACACAGGAATCACTCAACATGTTTGATGCAACAGAAGCTGCCATAACACAAGCAAAAGTCTTCCATGACTTGTTTGATGATCCACTGCCATGTACAAAATCACAAACCCCTTTGATGACAAGCCACTCCATCTTTGTGTCATGAGCTGCTGCAAACAGGCCTGAGGAAGAAAAATGAAAAGGGATATTAAGCTATAACAACTGGAATGGACTGGAGCAATACTATGATATTCTGGGACATAATCATTGTCCAAGTGGGCAAAAGAGGCTTCGTTTTCTTTCCCTGCAAAAAAAAAACTACTTTTAACTCTCCTTTGCTGCTGGAGGATGTGTTAGGGATGTGCTGCTTTTCTGACTTTTTCTGGGATGGGATTTACACGAAATCTCACCAGACATGAAAAAAATGCATTATGGTTTATGGCAAAATAATATTGTCTTTGATGAGCATAGATAGGATAGAGTAGCCCTAATAATAATTCTTACCTTTTCCTGCCAATTCTACTGCAATTGCCCCAGGGTGTAATTGACACTGCTGTTCAGCACCAGTCAGATCAGAGCAACTCAAAATCTCTCCGCCACAATGTACTTTAACATCTCCTGCTTCTGGGTTTTCTAATGGAGCCTCCCATCCATCAGCTGCACTTCTAACAAGGTTACCAACATATCTACCCACTGGGGTTTGGTGACAATCTGTTGTCAGCTTTGAGGATATCACCACATCTCCTAGCTGGGCTTTTTCAGGACTGGGACTGTAGCAGAAACCAACCAAAAAGGTAGCCTTTGGTCTCAGGAGTGTGATGGCATTTTTAGCAGAAGTTTGAGAACCTCCAGGATCTGAGGAACCTTTAAGACACCTCACTAGGGCAACTTTCAGTGACTCATATCCTTCTTCACCCATCTTTCCAAAGTATACATCTCCAATGGATTTCTCATAGCTTTTAAAAGAATCTCTTAAGTAACAATAACATGCCAAGAACTCACAATCCTCCACAGTCAACAGCAGAATGTCAACTGGAAGATGGTCTGCACTCCAAGGTTTCCTCTTCTTTGGCAGATCACTCAGCTTCAAAGGTGCAATACTGAAAGATGGAGGGTCCTCACTGCAGTCCACTACACTGCTACTGTTGTCATTTTTCAGTCCTGCCATAGTCACAGAGTAGGCCAGTATGCAAAGTGTTTCTGGAAATAAAGAGTTGGCAATGTTATTTTGAAGTGGTCAATCAGACGTGATGGTTTCTGGCTGGCACATGACAATCTTGCTAGGCATTCCAGGTGCTCAAATACTGTGGGATTTTTATTTTCTTGGAGGGTTAGCTCCGGTCTTTTCAGATGGATTTTTTATTGGAAGGTACGAGGAGAATCGTGCATCTTTTGACCTTAATGCTGCGAAGTTTGAAAGCGGAGCGATGCAATTTTCGGGGGGAAAATCACTCGGGCGCTTGAACCGCTTCAAAACAAGGCTTCCACCCTTGTCTTTCTTTCATGCATTACATTAACGATGAACTCAGACTTATTCAAAATTGCTCAAAAAAAACATTTTTGAGGCAAAAGGACGACTATACACCACAGGTAAAGTAATTCAAACTTTATTTATCGATAATTTGTGTACATAGTCAGCAATATATCACTATAGGTGAGGCAAACAGTACATCTGGTACATTTACTATAAAACAACAGTCGGCTACAAAAAGAGATTGTATGGGCCCCCTGTGGTCTAAATTGCATTGCTGAGTGATACTCAAAATTTCAAAATCACAATTTTGATACAGGTACAATTAAATTAAAGATAGTGAGTAAATGTTCTTCCTTGGTTTCTAACCTGCATTTGTCAACCAAGGGCAAAAATAACAGAAAATCAGCCTGACCTGTGTAAATGTACTTCTTCCTTTTAGTTCATCTTCACGAGTGTCTTGAGCTTAATCACAGCAGCAATCCCTGTCAGCCTTGTTAATTCTGTTAACAAAAAAAATCTTTACTTTTCTAGTAAAAGATTGTTGTAGAGCTGAGCTTATTACACATTGCCAGAGTTATCATAAATATCCCAACGAGGTTATTTAAAGTCTACTTAGCTTCCAAGCCCATTGTTGGTGTAGTGATCTCATACTGTTGCAAACTCAGAGAGAAGCTCAAAATGGCTGAGCTCTTTTTAAAAATGTATAATAAAATAATTATTCTAATCACTTTTCACATGATAGCATGTGTTGTGTCTGTGTTATCTACTTCAGCCTTCTGGTAAGCTTTGGCAGATGACTCAGACCCAGTGAAAATTTGCATTGCTTATTTTTGTGACCTTACAGTCACCACCAAGGGAAGAAAATCATTACCCTTTGCAGCATTGGTTGATTGAGACTTTTCACAAGGAAAATTCAGCAGTGAAGACATAATTGAATAAATGTTCATTACATACTATTCCTATATGCTCTTTTCATGAATTAGCATTTAGTAGAAAACTCATTAACATATAACGAAGGGTTGTACGAATTCCTTCAAATACTTGTAATACGTCAATACTTCTTGATCTAAGTTATCATACAGCAAACAAAACTCTCCCCAAGTTGCTCTTCTTTTAAAATCAAGAAGAGATCAAATAAGATGAGTCATTTCTATCACAAATTATGCAACTTACATGACCAGGAAACTACAGTTCCTTGACTACAACAATCGCTTAAAGGGCATGTAATCCCAAAAATACATGTTTTTCTTATACTATGTAAAAAGTGGCTACGAATAATAAATTTGCAATTCGTTTAATTGTCCAGTTTGACTTCTTTTAGGGAGAAAATCAGCATTTTTGACCAAAATTCCATTTCCAGTGAAAACAATAGCAATAGGTCGTGACATAAGTGGTGGAACTAAAATATTGCACAACACGGTCTCCTCAGTTGAACTGATAGTGCAGCTCGTGCAAGTAGTAATAGTTCGCACAATGTTTCTTCAGAAGAGAGTAACTCGAATGCCTTAAACTTATATGACAGCAATGGGGATAATTGAGAACCTTAATTGGGAGAGTCTGGGCCACATCTTTATCAATATAAGCCATGTAGGGTTCACCAAACAATCCACATGAAGGTAGCACAAAACCAGTTGACAGCGATACTCAATGTCTCGGAAACACAGACTGGTATTTGATTCATTGTGTGATTTATTTTCATTTGGCATGAAAACCTAATAAAGCAAGTTTAAAATCTAAACAAATGCAAGAGAATTTTTTAACATGAGCTTCCATGGTTGTTTTATATGAATTATATAAGGTGTGAGTTTGAAACTTGTCAGCCAATGCTGAAAACACATGAAAGCATCTGTTGTGCAGAAATCACGAGAGTGTGGCGAAATGTGAAGGAACAAGGGCCTGAAACCAAGATGAGTTACTGAACATCAAGGTTTTCAGTTACCTGCCTCATTGTCTGGGTGCTGGAGATGGGCTATTGCGCGTACAGGCAACAGTATGGCACAAATAATCACACCAGAAATGAGTAAGAACAGGTATAGACAATGGCACGTACTCATTGTGTAACTTTAGTGGTCACGTTGCATTATCGCCTTCAAATTGTACTTTTTTTTTGTTCACACAAGCGTGTCCTTAGTGATTTTTCTGTCTAAGTTTTCAGAGATTAACTGATGATATATGAAAATTGTTTCAAGCAAGGGTGGACTGTGTATCTAAGCAGATTGGGAGTTCGTTGAAGCCTTTTCTTAATCATGCCATCAAAGTATTTACCTCCATGCATTTGGTCAATCATCTCGTAAACCCTCTTCTGCATGTTTTCTTACCATCCGTGCTTTAAGAGGTTTGAAGTGAACTCTGTTGTCGAGTTGCACTTTGGCCTCTTAAGTTTTTTTTGTCTTCTTCACCACTGTTGTTGTGTTTCTTTTGTAAGTTTTAAAGCAAAGTTGTTTTTTAAAACTCTTTTAGAGCTGTTACCTCATTGCATTACAAATTCTCTTATAGCTTATATATTAAGTAATCTCTGCAGGTTGTGTCCTGAAATTTTCCCAGTAGGTCTAAAGGGCAAAAAGAAGACTGAACCGGTGGCATCCAGTTTGATAGGAGATGGATGTGGTTTGTTTTGTCCGTGAAAGGTGTTTGGGAGGCACAGTCACCATGCACAAGAGTTGTCGTCTAGCAAGAGTTGGTTTGGTTTTTCATTCATTTATCACAGGAATTGGGATGAATTTGAGACCCTTTAATGGCAAGCTGACTTCAAAAGGCTGACAGTTTGCGAGGTTTTTAGGAATTTCTTGTTTGTCTCCCTTTCTTTCCCCTAACTTTTGGAGAACTCTAGTTCTCCTCGGTTGTTTCTCAGCTCAGTCGGCCTGACTGCATGGGTCACTTTTTTACCAAGTAAGAATTTGTTTCAGATAGGGCCTGAATTGTCAGTACAGCACCAGGACCAGCAACTTGTTTATGGCCCACTTCCACCATGTAGCTTCAAAACAATTGGGTGACAAATGACTGCTATAAACAACAGAATCTTTGGACCTTTGGATCCTCACTATCTACTGACTGCACAGGTCACTTTTTTATTACAGAAGAATTTGTTTCTGATAGGGCCTGAATCATCAGTACAGCACCAGGACCAGCAACTTTTTTAATAAAGGCCCACTTCCACCATGTAGCTTCAAAACAATCGGGTGACAAGTGACTGCTATAAACAACAGAATCTTTGGACGGCTCGATGAAATTGGCTCTTTTCACTTGAACAAATTAACCCTTTGTAACTTCAAATATGGTTTGTTTGAAAATTTATGCATTGTATGCCCAGTTTAGTTTGAATTACTACAAAACTGGACAACACAACACTTAACCATTATGAAAAAAATGAATATATTCAACCAAATTGTAAGTATAAAAATCATGATGAGACTGGCAAACAAGGGATGCGAAGGAGACGTAAAGGTATCTCATGCGCTTTTGACCTCCAGTACCAGAAGGTTCCACCCGTGACGTCACAGGAAAGATAGCGTAATTCAAGATGGCGAATGTTCCGAATTTGGGAGAGCTTTTACAAGGTGAAAATAGACTTTTGAGAAAACACGAGTTGCCCTTTTGATGTACTTGATATATTTGCTAAACCGCCATGCGAAAAGAAAATGGACGATTTTGCGGTTTACATGCCTTTAATTCGCCGTTAGCTAGTACGCTTGCACAAACAAATTTAACTTGTGCATGCTATGCTCAAAGTATTTCAATCGAGTTACGAAAGCGATTAAATGACCATGATTTCAAACTAAAATTTTGTATTAATATCACTCAAATTACTGCAGTTGGTCGGTGGACTTCTGGAGACGAGAAGGGAAAAGGAGACACTGACCTTGATAAGCGTCCATGATCACTGATGAGGTGGAAGTACTCAGAACGGAACTTGATTCTCACAAAACAGACAT